TTATTAGGTTGTGGAACTGTGAACAGTGGACATTATCATTAGCCGCACTCAGCGGGAAATCACATTCAGATTCTTCGCTGATATCTCTTCGACTCTATGTAGACCAGAGAGAGCCGAAAAGAGCAAGAGCTGCGAAAAAGGAGAATGAGACAAGAGAGAGAGAGAAGAGAGAGAGAGAGAGATGCAGAGAGAGAGAGAGGAGAGAGACGAGCAGAGAGAGAAATGAGACATGAGGAGAGAGAGGAGAGAGAAGAAAAATGAGGACAATGAGAAGAGAGAGAGAGAGAGAAAATGAGAAACAATGAGAGAGAGAGAGAAAATGAGACCAATGAGAGAGAGAGAATGAGACCAATGAGAGAGAGAGAGAGAATGAACAATGAGAGAGAGAGAATGAGACAATGAGAGAAGAGAGAGATGAGATAATAGAGAGAGAGAGAGAGAATGAGACAATGAGAGAAGAAGAATGAGACAATGAGAAGAGAAGAGAGAATGATCACAATGAGAGAGAGAATGAACAATGAGAGAGATAATGAGAACAATTTGCAGAGAGGATAATGAGGCAATGAGCGAGAAAATGAGGCACATGCAGCGAGGAGAATTAGGCAATGAGAGAGAGGAATGCAGGGCAATGAAGAGAGAATGAGGTCAATGAGAGAGAGTGAGACAATGGAGAGAGAGATGAGACATTGAGAGAGAGACGGCAGATCGAGCAAGCAAATGGGTGAGGGCAGGAGCAGTGGGGTGGATAGTGTTTGGGAGAGGGCGGAGCGGAACGCATGGTGGGTGATTAGAGAGGAAGGGGGGGGGTCGGGAAGAAGAATCAGAATAGATAGAATCATTTCCTTTCCGCGTCTAAATAGATTGTGATAAATAAACAAACCGCAGCCAACGCCGGGTTTCTTCAGCTAGTAAATAACATATATCTAATCTCTTACTGCTTTAGTTCCTCTGGCCTACCACCAAGAGTTCTGCTACATATTGAAGCATCCTATTAGAAACGAGGGATTGACGTGGAAAAACACCAATGTATTAAAGTGTATATTAGAAGTAAAAATCTATAATTATCCCACTAATGAACCGGAAATTTATCTTTAAATGCAGGAGAATGCATTTTTATTATAATACCTTTTGAATATCGACTCTAGTTTATGTTTGTCCTGTCTGGATGAGTAATATCACCTAGTAGTTTAGCTTAACTGCAAAAATACCAAATAAATACCAGAGAAAATCAGTCACAATGCACTGGTTCATAACAAATAAACAAAGCCACAGAGAGGGCTAAAAATTCAAAATATTACCGAATACATCTAAGACTAAGACATTTACAAATAATTTTTTTTTTTTTTTTAATAACCATTGCCCCGGCAGCTCGTTTCCAATTTGATCAAGTTCAAAGAAAAAGCTAAGAATAAAGCCCCCCCCCCTCTTCCACAAATTAAAATACTTGCCCACAAAAAAAGTCAATATAAAACGACTGAATAATCAATCATGTATGATAGCTTCCGCGGCCGGAGTCGTTGAATACTTGGTTGCTCCGCGACGAAGCCGCCCGTCTCAGTCGATCGCAGCTGATGTTTCGGCTATCGTTTTGTGGCCTTCTTCAGCACTTATAAATATAAAATATAAACCCGAAAGTCCGCCAAAATACATATATATATATATATATATATATATTATATATATATATATATATATAATATATATTATATTCCCAGCATTATAAAAGAACCTTTTATGTTGCAAGAAATCGTCATACTCGGCATTTTACGGCACAAATTTTACGGCACGTATTAGGATGTTTGTCACGAATGATTGACGTCATCACAACATTCAGCCAAGTTCGTTCAGTGAAGCAGAATCGGAGGGGGCGAGGAACTAAACGGAACAACCGAGCACCGTTTACTCGCACGATGTCAAATACCCGAGTCGTCACAGGTATGTTGTTTCCCAAATTTAAGTTTGATTCTCTTATAATTGTATAATGCTATTATAAAAAAATTAAGTATGCAACTCTTTTATAATGTGGCTTTATTAGATTGGTACAAATTTGAAAACTCGCTCCAAAAATCGCTCGTTTTCAAAACATGTACTCATGCAATAAAGCTTAACATTATAAACTAATTGCATAAACTACTATTAATGGACTTTCGAGCATTTTATTGGCCGTTGCTACGGTCACGCTCTTAAAGTACTGTTTAGATGGTTGATTGCTAAGGGGCTAATAACGTGTTTATCAACGTAAATAACAAAAAAAAAATCCTGTAGCAGCACATGTAAAATAGAACATTTGAAAAGTATAAAACATTACGAAAATAAAGTATTTCTTACAAATTCTGATATTCGAACTGGGCATAGGATATCTAGTATCAATCTGCAGAAAAGAGCTTTGGGGCAATCATAAGTGTATGGAACATATTTAACAGAAATACACGAAAGAATCATATAGAGTCCTTAAAAATAAATCTGTAAATTTCTGTAACATTGTCGTCTTTAATATTCTATTTGTGAATTTATTTTTGAATAAAAATAATTTTTGAATTGAAAAAATATCATATTTTTATTTACACTTTGAACAATCATTTAATACTAGTCTATAACAGAGTTTTGGCTAATTATGTATAAATAATTCTTAACCATTCTTACAACTCTTTCTCCTTCATGTTCTTTCCTTGGGAATTTAAATGATGTTCTTGTAATGACCTAAACTCAATAACATTCTATTTTTCAACCAAGGCGGCTAATAACTCAATCGCAGATTTTTTTCTTTTCTTTTCTGAACAAATTCACATTCTGGTTATAAGGTAATGATGCAAGTTGTATTCTTATTTTTATTTTTGAAATAAATGATTGCCGTTGAACTTTAATACGCGAAATCAGGATTGACAACTTGAGCGATTATTGATTTTTGTAAGGCTGTTTAATTGCTGCTACGTGCTGCTACCTAATTAACTAACGGCCATTCTGACAAGGAAACCCCCAAAACCTTGCAAGTCGAAAACGACCCTGTTTTTTTCCATTAAAGTATATTGTATTTGATACGAATGCATACAATTTCAGAAGATGGTACAAAGTGAAAAGCACTTTAAACAGTTAATGATGGTAGATTTTTGTTTGACGCGAGCCCTGAAAGAGATGATCCCGGACAAATCACTTAGATGAGGCACTGATGAAATTATCTACATTATATGAAGAACACACACAGGCCAATGATCCACAGAGCATCCAATTCTAACCAAATGTCAAGAAATTTCACTAAGCTATGCCCTGAAGCAACCGACAAAACTACGCCAAACCAAAGAAATCCGCTTCCTATTGATAACTATTTTTAACACTTGAGTTTCGTTTATTCACCAACACACAGGAGTAAAAGATAGTTCCCTTCGCATATATATATATTTGTTAAGATGATTGTGTTAATACACATTTAGTTCAAAGACAGACGAAAACATTCATTCAATTTGACTGATAAAATATTATACATACATGTATACTCAAGTTACCTGGTTACCCTAAATGCATTTGAGTAGTTCAAGTAATTGAAGGAGAAGATCAATGTACTCAAATCAAATGTCAGAAAACGAAATTGTAAGTGTGCTCAATTCATGCATATTGCTTGGCTCAAATGCGTACATCAAGAGTGCATGTGTTTACCTCGTCCGGAAGCTTCAGAAATCACTTGTGAACATTTCAAAAGTTGGCATCAAAATGAATGTTTTAACCAACATTAATCAGTTTGAACAAGTTTGTTCAGTTGGCTATGTGAAAGATATTACATCACAAATTCAAGACATTATAACTGATAAATTCTTTTACGGCATAAGCATATTGTAATTAAAACTCGTATAAATTTCATTGAAAATCTTTTTGCGCATCATTTCATAACTTTCTCTTCCAAAGACGTTCCTTCTTAAGCGCGAGAAAGTAATAAATATTCATCATTCCAAATCGTTTCAAACCAATATTTTAAAACTGTAAAGTTGAAGTTTAACAAAAACGTTGCAGTTTTTAACCATTAGTGTCTAGCGGGACATAAATATTACGTGATCGCGCTTTTAATTTGCGTATATTTAATTGATGAAACGGACAAGTTTAAACTTGTTCCATGCATTTAATAGACTTAGACATCCTAAAAGAAACATATAAGCGTTTCTTTTTTCTTTCATGAAAGCCAGATGTTGAATTAGCATTGATAAGGCATTGTACACTCCTGGCAGGGTGTACAAATGACTTGCGTCGGTTCGAAGTTGACGGGGCATATACAGCTAAGGTCTAATGGTTTTGTTTCTTCTTAAATTCTCATATAACCAACGGTTTGCGCTTTGAAGCGCTCTAGTAGCAAATATTTAGCAACACAACAACTGGTTAGCACTAAATGTTGCAAAAATATGCTGCCAGAGGGTTCCAATGATTCCTGTATATGCTGCCAGAGGGCTCCAACGACGCCCGAACGCGACAATGGGCGAGCGCTGTTCGCACGAAATTATTCTGGGCACTAACGAGTAATCTTAATAAGCGTTGTAATCAGCACGTTACAGAGCTGAAGAATCCGGGTATTTCGTTACTCCGGCATAATTTTACACGGCACTATACACCACTAATTGTCAGTTGCAATATTGAAGTTTTCTTTAATTACGTGTTCCTGGCGCAAAATATATCTATGAATTCGATATTCCATCAACAATTCACACACACACATATATATTATAATGAATAAATACGATGGATATTCCAAAAATACATGCCAACTATTAGCCATTCAATATTTGTGTAACTCTCAGCGAATACAGCGGCAGGAATAAAAACAAATCTCTCAAAGCAATTTAAGGTCATTGGAATGTTTTTCGAAATGATACATAATACCTAATTGGTGCCGGGTACAAGACCTCACAAGTGGGGGAAATCGAAAGATTTTTAAATAGAAATTGTTGTTTCGTTAGTGAAAAAACAACGTACAACATTCACAATACTCTTCAAAACGTCTTCCAGAAGTTCCCACATACCATCGCCAATGCTGAAGGTCTGAATACCATAATCGCTCCGCGAGATTCGTATATGCACCAACACCTCTCGTCCACTGCGCGGCATGGCTGCGGTTGCGACGCGCTGTCCACCCCACGTGCGACATTAAGATAAAGCGACGCGCTATCGCCAAATCACCAGTTATATGACACGGTCGAGCATTTCTGATACGCATTTCTGAACTGCATTCTTCACATATGACCGCCGTACCACTTTGCTAAGCAAGCATCTTGGAACACAGTCTCTTTGCGTGTACCGTCAATTAGTGGAGGTGGCATATCGTAGAGTTTCAAGTTTTCAGAACTAACCATTATCCTGTCATTTAGGAAGATGTAACATATTTGAAACGTCTTCAAGACCCCAGTTTTACACTTAATATTACAAGTAACCATTCATTGATCTCTCGGTCCCCTAATATCACATCCTGCATTATCACTAAAATGTGTGCATTAATTTCTGTGTAAACGCAATGTTTATTTAATTATTAGCTGTACGATTACAAAAAAAAATTCCAGCACGATACTTCTCAATAATGTTTATATTTATAATTCTGAATGCATATGTAAAAAACTTGAAATGGGTATTCAATTACATTGCAAGTGTAATTGAAAGCAAAATAACGGTGGCCGTCTGGGCAAACCTTCACTTGGTGTTGTAGACGCGCTTTGTACGCACAGTTCCCCTCTTGTCCACCCGACCCTTCCTTGTCTGCTTCTCTGCCACGACAGTCGCCCAATTGCAACCCGAACTCAGATTTCCCTCTTTGATACCCGCTTCCCAGCTAACTCTTTATACTTATCTTTTGGCTACCTCAGAAGACACAGGCCAACTGCATCTCGACCGGTGCCGGTGTTTTGGGAGGGGAAAGGAGGAAACAATCCTCCACGAGTAAAGCAACATCTTCTCACACTAGTCGAGAGACAACTTCAATCGAAGGTAAATTTGGAAAAACCTAACTGTGAGTAAGCGTACGTGAAAAGTTGCCGATGATACGAAACTTTAAGTTTTCTTTCCACTAATTTTTTAATGGCGGTGTTCGATGAAGGCAATGCAGTAAAATAATTTTCACTTATTTCTTGAAAATATATAGAAGTAGACCTATTATAATCGACTCCAATTTGAATCATAACCTCGAACAGGACTGCGGACGTCTACTCAATCGGCAACATCTACGGGATTCTGCGAAAAGAAAGACAGAATAATATCTCTTAACGTCCCTGGAAACTGATTCATTGAGAGCTTGTCAGAAAGGATAGTGTACGAAAATGGGATGTATTCATAGAATGCTTCAGGAAAGCAATCTACGCTGTGAAGAAGAATGAAGCTATCTCCTAGCAAAAGAGTATTCACAAAGTTCACGAAGGTTTTGATGCGACTGTCGTGAAAATGAATGATGGGGAACCATTACTGATGATAAGAGGACGGATTCTGATGACCTAAAACATTGCCAAATGCGATCAATAAACCGCATTAAAAATGCGCTAAAAACGAAGAAAATGACGTAAAAATTGATCAAAACCACTTCAGATAAACAACTCAAGCTGTTGGATATGTTACTGATATAATTGAGGCTTCTTTCTTTTGTTCAAGTGAACTTAGCTTGCAAACTTTGGGTTTGGACTTTTCTTTAAAAGAAAATATCTGCCTTTATTTATTGCTAAATCGGCTGAACTGTCAATGGCGCCGAGAAACGTCACAGGAACCTTAGATTACATAGAACTCACATTGTCTAACATTACAATATATGTGCAAAGAAATCGAACAGGCTACTCAGGAATTCTGTAGTGAACATTTGTTGCGCCACGAAAATATTGTTTGAAGCAAGTACCAATTAAATGATATTAAAATCGATTAAATCAGCGAAAAATGCAGTAAAAATGAGCTAAAAAGGTAAAAATTACTTATTAGTTGAAATCGATGAAAAATGCAAAAACATGTCATAAAAATGTGTCATTTCGCTTCGTCATAACATAAAATGAATTTCTATACTAAACGGCATTGTTTTAAAATGAAAAAATGACATTTCAATAAAATCCGTCCCTACTAATGATTAATGACAGCAAAAATAATTTGATATTGTTTTCCTGCGAGAAGAATTTAAGTGTATTGTGTAAAATTCTTGTAGACGGGACATTTAAATACTGTGCAAACCATTTTGTCCAGTTTTCACTATTCGTGGAGTAAGCTCGCCTTCCTATCACTGAATAGTAAGTGCAACATAACATATGAATATTGTTTCAAAACGCCGAGATAAATTTCAAAAATAAGTTTGTTTCCAAACCCGCATTATTTTCGCAATTTCTATCACTTTCGTAATGTGCATGCAGTTTGGCCTGAAATAAATTCGCAGGTGTCTCAGAATAAAAGTTATCAACTTATACATGTAAAGGGGTCAAAAATAATCACTTTTGTCTATAAACATGTCGTGAGAAATTGCATTCGACTGAGTTACATTCATATTCTACACACGTGGCATTTGCTGCTGATTTTAGGCAACCCTGCACGATCGGCTGTTTGGCATGTCCTAGAAGATTGTAACATTTGTTCTGAGAAACCTCTGAAGGCTTGACATTTTCGTCTTCCCCAGGCTTGGCGGAGGTAAATTCAAGTTCTGGGACTAAACAGTGAATACAAATCAAGACAGACGTGAGCCGATTCTTGTCCTATAAATCTGGTCGTCTGAAGCTGATTAAAGCAGCCGTGAAATACTCTTTTGTAGATGATTCAATGACAAATGTGCCAACCGATGGGAGAGAGAGAGAAGCACTTTATAAATTATTTGACAACTAATTATATAGACAATCAATCTTCATGTCCGCCTCAGATATAGGCAGATATGACAAGAAGTAACGTAATTTTTTATTGTGAAAGTTATCTTGCAAAATTGAATAATTCTTATTTTTATCATTTGGACATTACGTTTTAAGAAGTTTTAAGGCAATTCCAGACCGTCGTGAAAATTGCAATCCGTACTTCTCAGAACGTGCAAAGACGTCCACGTCCTGTAGGCAAAAATATCGAATATATAGAAGAAAGTATAATAAAATAGAAAGTAGCAAATGAAATAGAAAGATATAATTTCATGCAGAGTATGCTGGCAGTTACAAGCCCATCAATAAACGCCTTTAATCATGCGAGTATGGCTTCCGTAATGAAAACTAAGATGTATAAACAATTTACATGTCACTAGACTATTAATAAAAAAACATTATGGGATATAAACCAGTTCACTCTTTGCGGTAAACTAAAACAAACTTGTATTTAAAACAGAACTTTTCTTGCTTTGATACTCGACGTTTCAGAGCAAATTTAAGTTAATATCTACCTTTCGCGTCCTTGTAAGCCGTTCGTAACGAAAGGTCGTATACGGCAAGGATGGCTTTAGGTAATATGGGGCCAACTTTATGAAATGAAAGGGAAAAACACGATATTATACCAAAAACTGGTTATATAAATTTGATTATTGCTTTATTTCCTATTAATATTCCTCAACATTACAATATTTTTAAATAAAGAGTAGTGTGTATAAAAATCAACAACTCGGAAAAGTGTACGTTTTACAATCTGACACTTTTCTAATAATTCACTTAACGTTTCTGGGAAAATATTATTAAGTTAAAATTCGGTACCATCGGAGGCAATACGAAAATTTAGTTTTAATAATATCTAATGATATTATTGTTAATAGTATTTAAAGAAATACATAAAACATGTATGATTTTGAACTATATTGTAGTGCATTAAAGGAAGATACAAGATTTATTATTATTATTATTATTATTATTATTATTATTATTATTATTAGCCCATTCACGACTGAAGATGTAAGGTGTTGTTAAATATAAAATCTACTCGAGTTGCAAGCAGCTTGCTAAAGAGACTATGGGAGCGTCTAGTATATCTTGCGTCCGATATTCACAAGCATAAAGTTACTTTTAAAAAATAGCGTACGAGGTTATGTGCTATTTACCAGTCGTTTTGTGGTAATTAAAAATAATGAAATGCTAAATCTCTGCTATCGTCACTGCTATTTATCTGTACCGCAGTACTTGATTTCAGGAATTTCTTTTACACTTCACTTTACTCTAATCACAGATACAAAGTGAGAACTGGCAGAGACGGAAAAAAGAACATGCAGAGAGAGAGAGAGAGTGACGGAAAGAGGAGCGAGAAACGGAGAGAGGAGAGAGAAACGGAGAGAGGAGAGAGAAACGGAGAGAGGAGAGAGAAACGGAGAGAGAGGTACAGTTCACGAGAGAATGGCACCAGGAGAGATGGCTCAGGGCATCAACGGATGTCACGGTAGACCCTCTGACCGGGAGGTCATATGTTCGATTACCGACGGTTGCAAATTTTCGACACTAGCTTGTCAGCTGGATCGAATTCAGTCGCTGTCTAGAGGAGAATTCTGGCGGCCGGATGCTCTCATCGGTAGTTTTGCGTGTTTTCTTCGATTAACATCAGGCGAAGTCCGGAGCAGTGCCCTAACAAACGGGCCATGGAGAGCGCGCGATCTTTCCTACATCTTCCTCACTTACGTAAACTAACATGCACTACACTACCGCACATGCCGAAGACCGGTCGGGAGCTTAAAGCTTGTCTCCGCTGAGGCGGTGCCTCGCTGGTTGGAGATACCTGGTTGAGGAAACCACGGTAGGTCAGCGCCGGATCTACCATACACCGGGGGAAGACCTTCGCCACCGCCCGAGCAAAAACTTGCACTACATTTATGGTTCTAATAATTCTAATAGTTGGCGCGCCCGGAATCACTAACAATCAATCAATCAACGAGAGAATAATTAAAAATTAAGTTGATAAATTATTGTTCATAAGAATATATCGTGTGCATTCATTAAGAAAGATATGAGGTACAAATCGATATTAACGATGAAGACAGTTAAATAACGGTCTAATGGAATACAAAATTAATATATTTTGTGTTCCATATGCACAGACTGGTGGTCAGGCAGTCAAGTTTTAAGAACTTTCCAGATTCAGTAACTGTCAAAATAGAGTTTATTTGAATCTAAATATCGTGAATGAACACTGTGCGCACAAATTACGTT